AGAGTAATTTGAAATCATAGGATGCAGGTCCTTAAGGACCCTAACTCCAGCGCAGAAATTGGTAAATCCTGATGGAATTTGGAAGTACCGATCAAATAATACTCCAAATCTGGTTAGTCTCTAGCTCTGACAGGCTGTAAGTGGGTTAACCCCCTCTCGTTGGCGCGGTAAAACGTGGCAACGTAAAGGTGGGTGTTTTCACGCTTGAAGCCGGGCCGACATGCAGCTAGGAGGGGGTGTTTGCTCGGAGCGCATCAGGAGGAAACAATGAAATATCGCTGTCTTCCTTTGATGCTTTTTGCCGGGACGTAATTTCGTTGAAATAACAGATTTTGCACCTGAATGCAGGGCGCTTGCATAAGAAACGCTGCCGCTCTCCGCTGCATCGCGCTTGCATGCGCACACAACTCCGCTTGCGAGCCCCGCTTTTATTCCCCGTCTTCAACCGTGCGCCTGCGTTTGTCTCCCTACGGCCAAACGTGTCACACATTTAGAAATGCAACTGTCTTGATAGACAGTTGCCGACTTGATAGTCGGGGATTTTGGTAGGATTCGGTGTCAAAAATTTAAACATGACTCATCAGAGCTGCCGTCATTGGCGGATCCAACAAATTGGCAACATTGTCTTCCTCCATTTAAATCTATAGAGATTTATCGATTCTTGGAGGGGGCAGGTGCTCCGACAAAAATCGATTATCTAGCATAGCTTCCAGCGGAGAAAATCCAGTGTTGCAGAATTGCTGGATACGCCTCTGGCTAAAGGAGAACGCCGTATGAGTATAATTGAGCGTTACCAAAGTGCCTACAGTAAAATGTTAATTTATCAGGAGAGTTATGAATACTTTCCCTTGAAATTTTCCGATACTATGGATTAAATTGTGATTGAAGTCCTGCAAAAAATTCGTGGAAAAATGTCTACAAGTTTTTCAGGAATTTTGTATTTTATCGAAGGACATTTGGCAACGCCTGAGGGCTCAAACGGTGCGTTTCCTTAGCACGGTAGATAGGAGGCTCATGTAAGTACTCACTGGAATAAAAATCTTTTGGATCCAAAGTCTAGACTCATAACAAAGACAAAAAATAATCTTGATTCAATAATCGGAGTTCCGATTGAATCAAAAAGAAATCCGCTCAAATTAAGAGGCTCTCAATTCAAGCAAAATTCCGCGTGAATCAAGAGATGTTTTTCTTGTCGATTTTTTTGAGTCTGAACTCTGAATCCAAGAGTCTTTTTTCCCAGTGAAAAGATCGTATTCTATGATCGTTCTTTGAACAGCTCCTTGTCTTAGGAGGCCTCATGTGGTTTAGATCCTGAATAAGGGAGCTTCAAGGAAGCCCCTCACCGGGAAAATGAAACTCCCAAACCACGTATCTCACGATGTTTCAAAACCTCCGCCCCCCCCTCCCCATTTCATTTTTTTGAAGAAGGACAAACGAACGTCGCAGTTTTCACAGAATTTTCTTCTCGAAGAGAATCGAGAGAAAATCAGAGAAGTTTAAAAGAATTGACTTTTAGTAGTTTCCCTTTTAAAATATGAAGTATGCTGCCGTGCTAAGGAAGAACGCCGTATGAACATTCGAGAGTTGTCAAATTTCCTACGAAAAAATATTTATTTTGGGAAAAAATTATGAATATTTGTCCTTTAAATTTTCAGGAACTTTGGGTGAAATTGAGCACAAAATTATGTAAAAAAATAGAATTAAAATATTCATATGCTTACCAGAACATTCTTGTTTTATCAAAAGAAATTTGGAAACGCATGAAGGTTCATACGGCGTTTTTCTTTAGCACGGCAGTATGGCAGAAAGTCTGCAACGTCACAAAGCGAGATACGCGGTTTGGGAGTCTCGTCGTCGTTATGAGCTGAGAAGTATTTAATGTGCGCGATTCTCTTTTCCATGCTAACTCAACCATCCAAACTGCGAGAGCACTGAATGAAACGATATTCAATGATACTTATGCGTGCGTTCATTCATTTCATGACACAAATTCACCACGAACTTTGAGCTAAGGCTCGTTTCATATCAGCCTGCTCAACATCATGTTTCCTGTTCGAAACCATGATCCGCACAAAAGGTCGTCGAGTTGAAACAACGGTTAGACGGGCTTGTTAAAAATGCCACGCAACAAAAGTAACGGTCCACAAACAAGCGCCTAATTAAGTACAATAGATAAATGAAAGATTGATTACAGTAACAGTGACATGAAGAGCGAATGAAACTTTTACTTCCCTCCCGGTATATACTCATTCTCAACTTCGCATTCACTCGCAACGTTTGCATTAGTTCCGAGTTGCGTTTGCAGCCAAAACTTAAAACAATGGTTCGGAGTTGGAAACTTGGAACTGCGACAAAAGCGACGTTGCCAGATTTTTCGCGGGGATTTCTCGGATTATCTTTGAAAGCTCTACTCCTTTCGCTTCGAGACTATACGCTTTTAGTTAAAACCTCATGTAAATACACCCTTTGACAATTTTAAACACACATAATGGGTCAGTCATACGCTGGTCATGTAGAATCTTTTTTGATGACTATGATTATACATTAGCAAAAAATAGTAAGATACGTCCAAACGCGAAGTTTCCGCGTACACGCAGTATTGATACATATATCGCCGTTCAAAAAACAAGGTGTGACGTCATGTGTCATCCACCACGGTGGTGAATATTACAATTTTTTCCACCTCGATATACGTCGATCATGCGCAGTATCTTTCGAATGGTGAATAGTGCGATAGCTCCGTCAATATAGGGCTTAGAAACTGGACGTTTTGTAAGATCTGGTTATTTTTTGCTAATATGTAAGCTTAAACTGTAATTACGCAATTTTTGACTAGCGCAACGGACTTATTCTTTGACAATCTTTTTTACAACAACGTCAAAAAACCGTTGAGTAGTTTGCCCTTATTGTTTTCCTGTCCCGACTGTAACCACCGTAAGAGATGCACACATTCGGACGTGTCGCCAACAGTGATCACCCCACGCACCTGAATATACAACCACAGTGCGGACAAAATATTCGAAATGCAGTTTTATTAAAATTATTTATTAAATCACTATTATTAGAATGCCTGGTGCAATTAATTGGTATCTCTAATATCATGTTTTCAATAGTTTGTTTAAAAAATTGATTTTGTCATTCGAAAAAACTTTTCAACGTATCAAAAAACAAATATAAAATCGTAATTCTAGTATTGTATGTGCATGATAACGGCAACCACTCTGTTTTTCGAGGGGCAAATTTCGATCCGAAAAACTTGAGGTTTGGCAAAATTTCATCATCAATTGCAAATCTAAAAATTTCAATCATTAAAACCTGTTTCTTTGACTGCCGCGAGGGCGATATAGTCTGCGAGCAATCTTAACTAGAAGTTTCGACTTTTAACGAAGCGAGAAAGAAATCAAGCTGCAGCTCATAGAACAAGAACATGATGAATTATTCGGAGATCGAGTGGTATTATATTTTCCTACCAAAAATCCATTTTTCCAGTACATTTTCTGGCATAATCAACTTTAAAACCATATCTTGCATTGGGCCTTACAAAAGAACAAAACTTCTTTCTACCTGTTTTACCTTGATGTAGCTTGGTTCTTCTACATAAACTCAACCGGATATTATTTTACAAGGCAAGGATGTAAGACCCCTTCCTGGTAATAAACTCCCTCATAGACCGTAACGATACATTAAATTTTTAATCAGGCCAAGTGTAGACAACAAACTGAGAAATTCCTCCACGGGTATTACTTTCGCATTACATTTCGTCTGTGTAACAACAGCGTTGCATGTGTATCCGTCCCCTTATCCAGTTATCGGTCCCTCACGCAGCGGTCATTTCTAAACGAAGGCAACTCATAATATTTTGCTGTGTATCATAGCCACATCAATTATTAGACATCATTTTACAGCAAGAAGAGGTGGACAAGAAAGTATCAAGCAAATTTTGCTGAAATACATGGTTTTAATTGAAATTTTTGAAGGTCCATTACATCTAGAGGCACATTTCAGCTAATTATTTCCAAAACATCTACCTCGAGAACTATCAGCTTTGATTAAAAGTTTGTCAGATAGATTTTTTGGGAAAATACAACTGAAATGTGTTCCTCGGCAAAATGAATCGGTCTCTTGCCTAAAATATGAATTGGAACTTCATATCAAAATTCGTCCGATGTCTCAATTTTTGTTTACTACCTGTGCAGATTCACCTTAATTGATTCTGTTGATCTTCATAGAGACGTTTGCATTAAAGTAAAATGCAATTCTTTTGAAAAGAATTTTTTTCATCTCGACTGAAAATTGAAATTATATACGGGAAACATTTATCTGTAAATTATACGAATTATAAGAGTTGGTCGACTAAATTATTTAAGACTAAACCTGTATCACTTAGATCAATTACTAAAACTCATCATGACGTAAAACAAAATGAAGAAATGTTGATCAATAGTGAGCAGTAATTTCCCTTACTGGAGCAAGTTGATTTTGCAAATCTTTTTTACGATTGACCGCACGGGGGAGTTTTTCATTATAGTTTCATTGACACCGCTGGATAAAAGGCTGCGAGGGAGAACTAGCTCGAGGCTACCAGCTGGTGCGAGGAGTCCGTTTTTCTCCGACGGAACTTGTGGAGCCCTCGGATTAACTCTCCCTTTATCGGTTCAACCCGACAACCCTGGCAGTAATGGTCGCGAATAAACTACTCTGATTAACTAACCGTAATACCTCTGCTAATGGACTCGAGTTTTCACTTCGAAAGCCGCCTGATCGATTGCGGATTGGCCCTTTTCTGACCCGAACTCAGTCGCGGCCATGCACCACCGTGCACTGTGCTTTCTTTCTCTTTGTTCAGATCCTTAAATCTTTCAGCGCCAAAATCGAAAAATGTTTGGTTAAACCAGGCCCTTGCTTTGATAAAGTATATCTAATCTGTGGGAGGGAATTGTATTAATCTTTCTTCCATACAGGTAATAGACCACTAGATATTGTAGTCATTAAATCCTCACGATCCCGTGTAACATTTTTCTTCTATTTTTGCCACTGTATACCGAAATTTAGAAGTAAAAACCCGGGTGTAGACCGAGTTTATTTGATATTTTTTCTTCTATTTTTGCCCATTACTCCAATGTATTGTAGAAGAAGATTTAGCTGCTACTTTTCTTCTGACAAGACCGTTTTTATCTTCTACGATATCGCTGAGAAGCCCCGGATTCCTCCGGATGACCTTGAGACAGCGATCTTCTATTTCGGCTCTAATTTTCTTCTGCATTAGAAGATTCACCAGTAGCCTTTCATCTATTGCAGAAGTAATGTAGAAGAACTTGCTCTGCCTCTACCGTAAACCCATTTTAGAACATCTTTATCTGCTACATGGTCAAACGGTGTAGAAGAAAAAAAAAGTATAGAAGAAAAATGTTACACGGGGAAACATACTACTTTCTCGTCAAAATTGTTCACGAAATACGTTCAACAGTAGTACACTGAACAGAAAATTTGTTTAAAAAGTCTTTTTTTATCATCTTTGGAAAACAAGTTTTCCAGAAAAAATCAAAAAACAAAAATTTTCGAGAACAACTCGAGCACTCTAGTACAACAAGAAAATCTCTTTCAAATGTGAAAATATGTTTTCTTTACTTTTGGATTTGAAGATAAAACAAAGAAGTATAATCAAAAATTTTAAAGAACACTGAAATAATATTAAAATACGAAAAAAACAATTATTTTTGTAATGCTTCCGAAACGATTCTGATACTATTTCAAAATTAATTTATGAAACATTTAAAAATTGAAAACATGACTTTCAAAATCCAAATGTCTTCTGCTGACTTTCCAAAGACATCTTTGAATATAAGAAATTGATAGCCTTCGAACATTGCCACAATGCTTGTGGTCCACTCACGACGAATTCCTTCCTCGCGGTACCGTTTGGTGAGAACTTCACACTGAATTCAACAAATCCATCCCGCTTGAGACGCCCAGGGCGACGGTTTTGACGTAACAATTCGCGGAAAAGGGTTTCCCTCCCGAGGAAATCACCCGTCCAGGGTTGCATGGTTACCTGGATATATCCTCGAAAACAACCACCCAAAATCCTCGAAGCCAATTCAAATAACTCTGCGTCACAACCTGAAATGGGTCTGTAGCACACAGGTTCTACCGTCACTCCTTTGACGTAACGGCGTATTTCCACAAGAACTGGGGTTCATTTGGACGTATTTCTGCCACACGAAACTATGTGCACTATGACGTGAGCCCTGTTATGCATCTATTCTTATGGGTCTCTGGGCAAATGTCTTAATGCGCATAGTTCCGTTTGACAGAAATACGTTAAGTTAACCGCGGCTTATGTGAAAATTATGATACATGCCTAAAGTGTCGTGTCAAGTCAAAACGCCGTAAAAGCATTCGGATATTGCCAAAGTTTCTCTCAGAAAATATTTATTGTTGAAGAAATCCTCCGTAAAATCGGATGAGAAACATTCATTGATTTTCTAAAAAAATTCGTAATGTATCAAAGGAAAAATTGGCAACGCCTGAAGGCTCATACGGCGTTTTTCCTTATCGGCAGTACATGCGTTGGAGGGACGACGCTATAGTGGACTGATAAGACTTTCTACGGGTAAAATCGCGATAGAATTACTTCGAGAACATTTTTCTATTCGTCATTGGAATAGAGTTATGTTCTTTTAAGGACGATTTTACGGTAAATCAGGCAACGTTGCTGTGCGTATTTAGCCTGATCCTAGATAGATACATCCATTTTAGACACTTCTGACAAGTTTAACGTGATTTTGTGCAATTTAACATATATAGATCTCCATCTGGTTGCCTGTATCATCCGTGTGCAACAGATGCATCCATTTTAGACACTTCAGACGAGTTCAACGTGATTTTGTGCAATTCAACCTACGAAGTCTCCATCTGGTTGGCTGTATCGCCCGTGTGCAACAGAGCGATTCGATTTGCCAGCTATACAAAATCCAGCTGAAATTCAGGTTATCTCTCTCGCGCGCGCGTTCCTTTTTCCGCGGGCCCCAACTTATTTTCTAGTCGTGCTTAACTCTTAAAGTGGGATTAGCAGTGAAAAATGCCTCCTGCGGGAATCACCTCGTAAGACGTGTTACTCGTGTCGCGGATCCGGGGGTGGCGTGGGGAGGGGGTGGGGGTTACGAGACGCGTGTGAATGAGCGGGAGGGAGGGGTGCAGGCCTGCAGACGGTTGATAGTGCGGGAGTGGATATTTCGCACCGGAAGTAAACTTTGCTAATTTAAGTTTACCCATCAATTAGGGTGTGGAATCTTCGGGGCCGTAATAAAACCCCCCGGTGGAGACGAGACGAGACGCCACGACACAGCAGCCGACGGATTGCGCCGCTAGATGGCGCTGGATGCTGCCGTGTATCCGCGCATCTCGCGCTGACAAATGCCCAGATTAAGGATTTTGGAATGGGTAGTGTTAGAGCTCGCTTACCGTATTCAAATAGAGTGTCTTTATAGTTAGAGTATATTGTATAGAGGCTTGAGGATCCGTTCTCATTGGCTAAGCCATAATAGGCTTCATAGAGCTCTTAAAATCCACAAAATGACGGATAGTGGATGCGGATTTTTTCAATTATCATCATAAAATCAATTTTGTTTTGATTTTATCGTTATAGCTCCACTTAAATGGATTGATTTGAGGTGTTTGCTCAGTTTTGAAATTTTAAAGAATTGAGTCGAAAATATCTATTCAACTTAAATCTTAACTAAAAGAGAGTGTAGCGCGTGATAACAGTTGAAGTTTTGCAATAACCCCCTCCCATCCAGGGTCGGCTGAATTTTCGGTTTCGTGACATCTCCACCCCGTGTAACGCTCAGTAACGCTGTGGTATAGACCACCCTCCCCTTGAAAAATTACGTAACGCTACTTGCCCAGCCCATTCCCTCCCGTCCCCCATCTCGATAAAAAGTAATATAATAATTACGTTACGTTTATTGAACGGATCAGCGTTTCTTTTCAGTGGAAAAAAGTGAAAGCATTGCAGAGGTTATTTCCTAAATTCATTACAACTTTTAAAGACCACCGACGATCAATTCAACAGAAATTCGAAAAAAAAATCACTTAAACTCGTTACGTTACGCTTCGCTCTACATTGCCGTGCTAAGAAAGACCGCCGTATGAACATTCGAGTGTTGTCAAATTTCCTCTCAGCAAATATTTAATTTTGGGGAAAATTATGAATATTTGTCCTTGTAATTTCTAGATTTTTCAAATCAAATTACGAAAATTTACTGTAAAATTGGAAGAAAAATATTCACAAATTTTCCCGAAAATTATTGATTTGTCGAAGGAGAAATGTGCAACGCGTGAGGGCTTATACGGCATTTTTCCCAAGCACGGCAGTATACGCCCACCCTCCAGTAACGCCACACAGTGGATCGAGTCAACAGGAGAGGTCGGAAAAAAGTTGGAAATCTTAAACGCTTCTAACTCCGTTTATACAAAAATTTAAGGTTCTAAAAGTGGCTCTGTTGGTTTTCTCGAGAAATTTTCGTTTAAAATCACCCCTTGAAATTTAAAATGTGACAAAATGAACATCAGTATTTGCGTTATAAATCAAAAATTTCATGTCCGACTTCTCTGATTGACTCGATCCACTGAGTACCACGTAAAGCTGGCAAATATTCTCACACACCCCCAGTCCCCCACCAGCCCACCTCCCTGGAGCGTTACACAATTTAAGGACGGCCCCTCAGCTCGGTCATAAAATCTAGCCGAGATGCTTCGACTTCAATATTTTATTGGCGTCGCTTGTATCATCGAGTGCGAAAAACTACGGAGATAATAATTACTAAGCGGCGAATCCTCGAAGGTGAGATTTCAATTAGCGCCCTCAAAACGACGCCCCGACCAAGGTGCTGGGCAGCGAGGGGGGTCCCGCGGTCCCGAGCTGGATCATTTCCGTCCAAGTTTTGAACATAATCATATTTTCTGTCGCGAGAAACTTACGCTTCAACTCGATAATAAACTTGCGAGCAAGTTCCCAGCGCTTTCATGCTTTTGCAGCCAGATTATCACCGGAGTTGCCGCGTGTCGCCGAAGCCGAGGGGAACTCCTCCGGCGAGCGAAAAAAGGTACGAAAAACTAGATTATCAACCGGAACGGCGCCGTGCCAAGATCGCTATGAAATGGACTGGGTTTAGGAGAGAGGAATCAAGTCACATTTTCAAATAAAATTGAGTTATGAGTGATTTTGAGCGCGGGTAGTATCTAACTTTCCCCTACTAAAAAATCAAAGTACAAGAAAAAATGTGTAGTGTCTCAAACGCGAACGTGATGTTCATTTTTTACACTGGGTCTCGTAAAAATAGAAAACTTGAAACGTCTTTTTCTCTGGGTCAACTTGATGTGATTCGATTTTTTTTTTTTTTTTTTTTTTTTTTTTTTTTTGTACTTTACTTTTGGTCTAAGATCGTGAATTCTTACGATTCTTCTTTCAGATTCCAATATCATAGCAAAATGGCCAAGAATGTTCATAAATGAGCGTCCTTCAGCAGAAATGAGTAAATAAGTCGAGTACATGCTTTAAAAATAACGGGTCATGAAGATTGAGAGAGTGTAATTGAAAGGCTTGGAGGACAAGGCGCATAAATGTAGTTTTCGAAAGAATTGACATCTTATTGAGTTCGACGAAATCTAGATTAAAAATAAATTCTGTGAGAAATTCACCGGTAAAATCTAAGTTTTAAACATCAAAATGTGAGCTCAAACTTTCTCTCTACCATAAGGCTTCGTATAATTTAGAAACTTTAGATACGTATATCTCAAAATAGGGAAAACTTCACTTATGCGCCTTGTCCTCCAAGCCCCTAAATTTATTCTCGATAGTTTCAATTCATAAGTCGGCTGCCTTTTGGGGCCCTATGAGTTCCATGACCTACCCTCCAAAATTACCGACATGTCCTTACTACCCCAAATAAGTATTCCAGTATCAATTATATCCGTCGAAAACACCTCTAAACCTGAAGGTTATTCCCTCACCTCGCGATTTCCTCCAACTTTCTATTACCGAGAGCGGATTGCGGGAGACAGCTCCACGGCCACGGGGAAATGAAAAACGAAGCTCGACGCGTCCCACTTGCCCGTCAAACCGATCAAACCCGTGAATGGACGGGCTGCGAGACAACAAAACAAAGAGCGAAAAAAAAGCCAGGATGTTCTGAAAACAACGGAAGGAAGCTCTCGCGGTGACAAATGTTTTTCTTCGGCGCTGAATGCGTCACAGTAAACATGTCAGAAATCGCCCCAGTTCCTTTTCACCGGGCGTTTGCGTCCAATTTGCCAGACAATGGAGTTACGCGATTGTAAACAGAGCCCGGTTTGCATGGGCGAGCACGGAGCGACGAACCGCGGCGACCGCGTCGCTCCTTCAAGAAGCG